AAAAAAAAAAACACTGCAAGACCAAAATAACATAAATTAGTGTTACACAAGAAAAAAATAGTACAATAACAAAAAATATTTTTTTAGTTGGCAAAATGAATCCAAATATACTCAACTAAAAGAATAAGAAATGTAAATTATTGATATATATTGAGAAGTGTGATATAGATAAAAATAAATAAATAAAATATAAAAAACAAAAAAGGAAAATAAGTAACTAAATAATAGTCTTACAAAAAAGAATAAAATCACTACATATGCAGCATGGCCCTAATAAAATAAGATTTTTAAACAAAAAAAAAAAGAAAATGCTGAATGAACGTTCAATCTGTTGAACGAGGTGCTGGGCCCCCTCTTTTAACGGATGTGCCCCATCGGTATTAACACGGGGGTGCCGTTTAAACATCAAATTAATAGCACCGATGTGGTGCTCTAACAACTAACTATATTATCTTTTTTAAAATTAATTAAATCAACCAAAAAAATCCAAACAAATCCAAAAATTTTTATATCCAAGCATACTCTAACGGATTTTGTTTGCCAAAAAAAAAAAAAGCTTTAAAGTGTGATTCATTTCAGCCCAATAAATAGTAATCAGTAGCTTGTCGGGAAATAGAATAAACTTTTAACAAGGTAAAGTAAATCAATAGTAAATATCCAATAGCATCCGGGCGTGTTTGGATACAAATATACCTTTAATTTTGGAAAAAAATTGTATGATTAGTTTTTGTGGATGGCTATTTACCGTCTCTATTACTAGTCACCGCCCCCAATTACGAAAATACCATTTACTATATTTCTTTCTTTTATCTCTCTAAACTATCTATTTCTCTAAAATCAAAACTTCAACGACCCGTACAAGCGTCAAAAAAATTTCGAAAAAATGTCGAAAAAATCCTACGGTCTCGGCAAAGAATTCTTCTCTAGCAAGAAATATTTTTTTTTATAATTTAAATTATTTTTATTTTTTTTTTTAAAAAATCTGAACCCGCGTCCGACCGGTCGGACCGGACGCGGGGCAGGCCGTGCGGTATCCATTTCCGTAGGTTATGTGTTTAAGCCTACACGAAAGGACTAAGGAAAGCATGTTCATGTCCGTGAAGGACTGCGGATTCTGAAGCCACCGGTCGATCGCGAAATTGATCACGCGGCTCGCGAGCCGCTCGAGGCTTGTTAACACGATGGACATGGCTAATTATGTATAGTTTTGGACTCTCTTTTTTTTTGTTTGGTTTAAATGAGGATTATTATAAGAGGTTTAAAAACACAAAATTTTGAGGTTTATGATTATTATTATTATTATTAGGAATAGGTTTAAAGTAAATAGGAAATATTTGAGATCATAATGCCAAACTGTAACGCCCCACTTTTATTTACCGAAAATTAGAATAAATTTTTCGAAATTTATTTCAAAAACAATATTTGAGGCGCTACTCTTTTTCAAAACAATAATCAATACTCGTCAATTTCTCAATACTCGGCAATTTT